ATGATAATGTTAATGATAATTATAGTGATAATGAAGATGATGATAATGATAATGATAATGATAACGATAATGATAATTAATCAGTATTTTTAATAAATTGAATAATTTGTTCTTTAGTAATTTCTACTAAATCGTTACCGCCATTCGAAAGAGCCTCCAAGACCCATTCAGCAGCACAACCAACAGACTTAAATAAGAGAATAATACAAACTACTGCAAATACAACACCGAATACAGCTCCAAGGAAAAGACCAAAGAAGCTTCCAAAAATTGATAAAATAAACGGAGTGCCAATACCACCAATTATTGCCAGCATACCAAAAACAACAGGTATAATAAACAAAGCGATGAATGCAAAAACTATCAATGTGCAAAGATAAAAGTAATGCCATGTTGGATAATCTTCTCGTAAATCTTTAGGATTAATTATGTAATGTGCCAAACTTTTCACATCAATTCCACTTGAATTCGTATTTCTTTTATTAATTTTACTTTCAAGCGAAAATTTTCTATCCATGTTTTGATTAAATCTATCCCTGAACTCGTCATTCTTCAATAAAACCAATTCTTAAAAAAAAAAAAATTTTTGGAATAAATTTTGAAATTAATTTTATAAAAGATAAAAATAGTAAATATTATTAATTAGAAAAAGTCAGTTTCCAAGCAAAATTAAGAAATAAACAAAACAATAAAGTTTATAAAAGATAAAAATAAAAAATAAATAGATAGATAGAGTGATAAATACCATTATCATTTTGTTCATTGTTATTATTGATAATTTTGCTTATATTTGACGATGTAGACTTTGTGGCAGTTTCCATGATAATTTTGCTTTTAAAAACAAAAAAAAAAGTTGTAAAATTTATTATTTTTTTATTTTATAAATCAATATTGCTTGTTGATGATGATGTTTAGAATATCTTGTGAATAGCACATGTTTAATTATATATTTAATAACACATATTTCCTAATTAATAATTGATCAACTAAAGCTTTATTATTTTTTTTTGTGTGATATATAATAAATAGAAAAAGTGGGTAAGCACATCATAGGTGAAACCAAAAGGTCCTATTAATATGTAGTACCGCGTAT